CACACACACACCCCAGCCTCCTTTGTCTCGTCCACCTCCATCAAATGCTGGGTGTTGTCAACATAAAATTATTCTGATTTACCGGGTAGGCCTACTTAAAAATGAAGGTAAGATGAATAAACCAATGAAAGAAATTAAAATAAATTGTAATGTAGCATACCTTTTTTTTTCTTACAACAACGGAGCCTTACGGGGTTTAGCTCTAGCAAAACTGTCAATTATTGGTTTGTAGTCCATTTGTGCTAGACTGGCCTCTATGGCCAAAGTTCCAAGACTTGTGGGTCTGTCTTGACACATTGTGGATCGTAAAATGTTTTTCACCCGAGAAAGGGTACCGAAGGAACGTTCAGCTTGCGCAACTGTGACAGGCAAGGTGCAGAAGATTCTCCACGTGATTACAACGTTCGGAAACAAAGCATCCAGTTTCGGGGAATGAGAAGTCTGCTCAGCAACTGAAGAGGCGGCAGGACATTTTCTCCAATGTTCGCCGAATGAATCACTTCCAAATGTTCCAACTCTTGCGCAAGGGCTGCTGATGCATCCGCTGCATATTCCGTGTGCAATTTGTTTGCAAGAGCACGAATAACGCCGACTTCCTCTTGGGCATATTTCTACAAAACACTAAATAACGTATCGAGTTTTGTCACTGCATTATACCTTGTCGTCAAATTTCCAAGAAGGCAGTCAATGAGGACATAAAACAAACTTCATGTTTGAATTTGTTCTCGGGACTTTGGCAGTCTGTTACATCTTCTGTCTCGTCTGCAAAAAGCTTCCTTTTCTTTTGTCGTTTTGCTGTTTCGGCAAATGAATGCTCAATCTCATAGTTATTTGCTACCAATTTGGACTCGCTCAAGAGTGCGTCCCATCCATCTCGTAAGGGGCTGTTCAAATACAGTGGAGTCCACTTAAAACGAGTCCGGAAAAAACGAGAAGTCTGTTATAAAGGCATTATTCTAAAACCCCGTTTTCTTCCTCCTCTTTGCCTTTGTAAATAAAATACTGCTATAGCGCTATCAGACACACTGCGAGTCGGTTAAAGCGGAATATTGCTGCTGCTGTGCACATGGCTTAGGCCAATTATAACATAATGCAAGACCTCACCAGTTGAGAAACTTGTTGCTGATCTTGCCAAACAAAGAATAGGAGAGCCCATGTGCGTCAACAACGAAGGCCGGAGCAACTGAGTAGGGAGGGCGTGGCATACGCAGACAAGCAGAACGCACCGCGTGATAGGCCAGTTTAGATTATCAAGGCCTGCCATGCCTCTCACTTTTGATGCGGGGATGGAGAGGTCACAGCAAT